AGAAATACAAATATATACAACATAAATATCAGGTAATTTTTTTGGGGGGGAGAGGTACTAGTTGTTAAAGGAATAGATCAGGAAAGGCCTCAGGAAGTAGATTAGGTACTGTAAGAAATGGAGGGGAGAAAAGAGTGAATTCTAAGCATCGGGATAGGGAGGGTGGTGGGAGCCCGTGGAAAGACAAAGTGACAATATATGGAATACCTAACGTGTGAGGGACAGCAAAAAAGCCAGTTTGGCAGGACCACAGAGCATTTGAATAGTACAAAAGAAGGTTGGAAGGCCGATTAAATCCAGGATGTAGAGTGCTTTAAATGTCAAACAAGAGAGTTTCTAACAAGGTGACAATGTATGTTGAGCAGCTCAGTTTGTCTGGAATGGAGGGTACATAAAGGGGGGGGTTATGTGCCATAAACCTGGAGCCAGATTGTGAAGGGATTTAATTAATTTAATTAAGCTGAAATCATTTTTATTTTATCCAAGAATAATAGGGAGAAACTGAAAAATCAGGAGCAGAGGGCTTGACAGGGTTATACTTGGTGCTTTAGGAAGAGTATTTTGAAAGTTAGATGAAGACTGGATGGGGGGAGGAGAAATTGAAGCTAGGAGTTCAATCAGGATAGTGTTGCAATCATCCACGTGGGAGGTGACAAGTGCGTGAATTAGGATAGTGATTGGACAGTGATTGGACAGAAGGGGACAGGTGCGAGATAAATTGCAATATTGTACAGGACCTGTGAGATTTGGCAACCAATTATATGGTGAGGGGGGAAACAGAGAAGGAAGAGCCTGGGATATTGTGTACCTGGGTTAATGGAAGAATAGTAGTGCCCTCAACAGCAATAAGGTTTGGAGGAGATTTAGGGGGAAGGTTACAAATTCTGTGATGATGGTCAATCAAGAAATGAAGGAGGAAGGATGAGAAAACAAAAGACCAAAGCTGATTTACATTACATGAATAATGTAAATTATTCAGAGACAGTAGAAGTCCAGCCTCTACCAATGCCACTGTATGGCTATGAACAAGTCACAATCTCTCATGCAAATCTCCAAAACCACAAATCACACAAATTACAGCTGTAGATCTACATAGGTGGCAGGAATTTCCTTACTAGGAGTTCTCCACATGGATGAAATCATATATCTGGACCAAAAATAAATAGACAAATAACTTCATGTCCTTGAAGTTACTTGTTTAATCTTTTGGTCTATTTAGCCCTAAAGAGTACACTGGAAAATATGAAGGATGTTTGCAAGTGCATATTTTCACTCATGTGGAAATCCCCACCTGGACAATGCAACATATTCAATGACTCAGCTGGTTAGAGAAATTTTTTTTTTGGCCCCTTGGGACACACCTGTGACCACATTGGAACACAGTGACCATCTTTCCATTCACATTCTTTACTGCAACCATATAGTCAAACACCCATGCACAGAGACATCACCTCTTCTCTCCATGGTGGTTAGCACCACCCCTCTCTACCTTCTAATATGGGGCAAACAAGTGAATGAGGAAAAAAAGCTATTACACTGAAACACACCTAAGTGTCCAGACATTCTGTTGGGAAGCTGGGTGTTAGAATATTGTAATAATAATGAGATGGAACCATTGACTCAATCTCCATGGGAGCCAGGCATATTTACTCAGCCTGTAGACATTGACTATAGTGTACATCTAGTTCTAACCATATGTTACTGAGCACCTACTAAGTGCTTGGCACTGGTAACAAAGAATATAAAGAGGAGCAGCTCGGTGGCACAGTGGATAGAGCACCGGCCCTGGATTCAGGAGGACCTGAGTTCAAACGTGACCTCAGACACATAACACTTACTAGCTATGTGACCCTGGGCAAGTCACTTAACCCCATTGCCCAGAAAAAAACAAACAAACAAAAAAACAAAAAAACAAAGAATATAAACCTTAAAAGCCAGGCTAAGGGGTTTGTATTTCTTTCTAGAGGAAAGAGGGAACCAAAAAAAGTTTCTGATCAAAAGAATGACATTGTTAGCATTTTACCCGAGGGATTAGCCTAGATGATCCACCCCTGACATTTTCTAACACTGTTCCAATGTGCCACTCTAGCTCATTGACCAGAACAATCTAGTATCTCCAGAAAGGATATTAGAAATAATGCAGAAAATAGGGTCAGTTGGATGAAATAGTGGTTACCTCATCTCAGGAAGTCACTACTCACATTTCTATGTAGTACTTTAAGCTTTATGATGTCCTTCCCCCCCCTCCCCCCATTGGGGTCTCTGTGGAGTAGGACGTATAAAATAGCATGTTTATCCCCACTTTTCAAATGAGTAAAATGAGGATCAAAGACGTTAAGTGGAATGGAGATGAGTATGGAGGAGGGCAACTAAAATGGAAGAGGGCATGGAGGAGGGTAGAAGTTGAGGAATATGGAGGTAGTAGAGGTGTTTCTGAATTTAAGAAAAAAAACACTTTAGAATATAAAATTTTAATAGGGGGAACTTGTTCACCAAATACCTGAGTGACAGAAGTACAGGCCACTGTAAGGAAAGAGATTTTCTTTGATACACTTTGTGGGCAAACTGAGTCAAGGGTGCAGTAATATTATTTTTAGAAAAGTCTTCCCTCCACAACTCCAGTGGAAAGAATGTTTTATGAGAGGACTAGGCTTAGAATCTTGGCTCTGCCAGACACTACCTGTGTGATCTTTGGGCAAGCGTCTTCCTTCTCCTCTCTGGGCCTCCATTTTCTCGTCTGCAAAATGAGATGGTTAGACTACATGACCTTCTATGTCTTGATCCATGAAGAACTTTGGGAAGAAGCATTTATTACTTCATGATTAGATAAGAATGTGTGTGGGGGGGTTGGATCACAGGAACCCACCAACAATCAGAAGGTTTTTTGATTGGTTAAGAGTGAGTATGGGGTTTATAGACCCAGGAGCAAGGGGGACTCCCAAACCGGTATGAAGTTTCCCAGGATCAGGGTCCCTAATTCTAACTGAGAGGGAGAAACTAAGAGGGGGTATGCTGAAATGTGGACTCCTGGCCAGGAAGGGAAACATTTTAGCTTTGGAGACAGCCAGGATAACTTTAGGGAGATAAGATAAAACAAACTGACAGCCATCCAGGTGGGTTATTTTATATTGTATTTTATATCGATTACTTATATTGATTGCAGAAGTATTGGATTTTTGAAATGATATTTTTTCCCCATTTATAAATACAAATCCTTTCTGGAATCCAAGATGGATTTAAGGTGTGGGAGGGGAGAGTGAGAACTAGAATGCACCAAGATGCCATTTCAAAAGAAAGGGAAGATCTTTGAAGGAGAGATCCCACTGCCCAGCACACACTCCAAGTAAGCAAGAGATGGAAAGGTGCTATTTATGCCAAAGTATCCATAGAAGCCTTTTTCTTGTTGTTCCCCATACCCCCCACGATTTCTTGATGAAGAAAGAACTTCTACCATTGGTGACCAGCAACTGCTCTACATCTTAAGAAACTTAGAGTTCCTAGTGAACTGCCCAGAGTCAGGTAGCCAGTATGTGTCTCAGGTAGAACCTGAACCCAGGTGTTCCTGACTTAAGACCAGCCCTTTATCCATTACAATACACATCTTCTTGCCTAGCAGCACTTTTGGGAGGTTGGCAAAAAGCTTGAAACAAAGTAGGTACCCATTGCTTGGGGGAATGACTGAATAAATTATGGTATAAGAATGGTGTCTGAAGACAGGGAAGAAAGAGAAATTCAGAGAAACGTGGGAAGATTTGTATGAACTATATGAGGAACCAGGTGGACAACATGCACAAATCCCGTAATAATGCAAGTGCAACCTCACCCCCTTTCTCCCCCCCGCCCCCCCCCAAAGCCAAAATATCAGGCAGCTGTAATGACTCCTTTTGTTAGCTGGATGGGGAACTGTGGGCATAGACTGTCAGATTCAGTCACTGTTTTTCTTGGTTACCAGGGAGGGCATATCTGGAAATCACTGGCATAAAAACAAAAGAAATTAATAAAAAGTTAAGGGAGAAGACATTTGGGTGTGGTGTACCTTTGAGACTACAGGGCTAGGCAAGCTTAAAGACTAAAAAGGTGAGAGGTTTGCTGTCATTCCCACTTAAATTTAAAAAGCAGTGAAAAAAGAAAGCCCTTGGGTAAGGCTTTCTCTATCGGGCAGGGGAGGGTCTCCTGGATCGTTTGCAAGGAGGAGCTGATTCCTCGTTGACCAGAAGTTTCCTAGAGCATTAGGTCTTCCTTGGCAGCAGGCCAGGAGGTTTCTGGTCTTGACCATGGGTTTTATACTTTCACTGCTTCCTAAACTTGACTGCTCAAGTGTAGGATCTTGGATTTAGGACAAAGAAAAAGCAGCGTGATTTTTCACAGCAGACAGTAAATTTGAGGAATCCACGACTTCTAGGAGGTAATGGGCGCCAAAATATAGATTCAGGAAGGATTTGGATGAATTATATCTCTTGATCCTTTTAAAATCACACAAGATTTTAAAGAAGATCGTGGACATAATTAGTGTTGTCCAAAAGTAGAATGGGTTGCCTTGGTGAGGTAGTAAGTTAGTTACCCCTTGTTGAAGGTTTTCATGCGACTGCTGGAAATCCAGTTATCAAGTATGTTGTAAGAAAGGACTTGGATTCCCTGCATGATCTCTGAGGTCCCTTCTAACACTGAGATTCTATGTGTAAGAACAGAACAATAGAAGAGGAAGGCAGGGCAGGAAAAAATAGCATTAAATGAGCTTTAAAATACCTGGCCAAGGCATCCTTATATTTGGAAAGATTTAGAGATTGTAGTATTAGTTTAATGTTACAATGGGTATGCTCATTAGAAATCTCTCAGGTGTCCAGCAATGGATATTGGGCAGGAAACTCACTCTCTGAGAATGATGTCCTTTCCTGAAACAGACTTTAAAATAAGCCAACAAATAACCACCACTACCAACTTTGTCCCCCTCCCCCTCCAAAAAACCCCAAACAAACCAAAAAATGGACTGGGGCCTGTCCTGATAACACCACCAAAGTGATTTATTTGGAAAGTTTTCAAGCAATTCAAGCGAGTAATTTAAAGGAGCAGGGATGTTTCAGGAGATAAAGCCATCACATGTGGCGATTCAACAGAAGTGAAATGTCTCAAAGGTTACATGTTGGAGGCTCTGATTAGAGCAGGCAGACTAGAAGATGGACTTAAAGCTGTGGCCAGGGATTACACAGAAGCAGTACAGATTTGGTATTTGGACATTGGAGGATTTTTTAAAAACGATTTTGAATTTTGAGCAGTCATGGATTTGGGGCTACGTGGGGAGCAATACAAAGGACCAGATGATTAATTATTGAAATAAACCAGCAGAAGCTTTAAAAAGGCAGACTTTGCAGATATGTTTTAAACAGGATTTCCTGAGCTATAGGAATTACTTTTTTTTAACCAGGCAGACACAACTTGTAGGATAGAGATTCTCTATAGCCTCAGAGGATTTAAGTGTAGTCTTTTCTCAGAGTGTGGCACAGGACAGAGGATGCCTCCATTCAAGTTTCTCCCTACTCTGCAGAAGTGTTTGTCATTTAAACAATTTCAACTTTCAGTCTTCTCTTCTTCAATGAGATTATATGAAGCACTATATAAATTAACCCATTCCCATTCTGAAAAACAGAAGCTTGATTTACAATAATATTTTCTAAGGGCTTTACACTTTTTTTAAATGACCAATATAAGACAGATGCTTGGATTTTTTTCATTGGTTCTATTCGGTTTATGGCAGCCCAGCCTCTTTTTCACTGGAGAGGACAAATCCCACTTGCCACAGTTTGCTGAATCACTTAAAGGACAGTTACCTCCTAACCAGATGTGGGCTGAAGGTGTTTGCAGGAGCCTGGGCCAAAGCTCTGCTGCAGCTCAGGGTTGACCATGAGTAATGGGCAGCCAAACATCTCCTGGGAGGCATAGGTCATGTACACAAAACCATCTTCATCCTTATAATCTCTGTAGATCTCTGCCATGGTCACACTCATGCTTGCTAAACTCTTATTGTTCACCAGGAGGTAGAAGGCTTCGGTGGCTGTCAGAACCATGCGACTCCTGAGATAGGAAGGGAGGATAGAGTCAGCCTGAGAATACAGAAGGCTACTGGTCTAAGAAGGAAGGACATATGCATTTATTAAGCATCTACTACATGAGAGGCACTGTGTTAAGCCCTTTACAAATATCTCATTTGAGCCTCACAATAATCCTGAAAGGTAGGTGCGATTTTATCATCTCCATTTTACAATTGAGGAAACTGAGGCAAACAGAGGTCAAATGACTGACCTGTGCATACAGCTAATGTCTGAGGCTCGATTTGAAATCTCATCTTCCGGATTCCAAGCCCAACACTCATTATCTAAGGTCCAAGGTTGGTATTACTGAGTTCTGAGCCCTCTGTGGACCACCAGAAACACCTTTTCATAAAATTATTTAGTGCTGGATGGGTCTTTAGAGATTATTTAGTTCAGTTCCTTCATTTTATAGATTAAAAATCATTAAGAGCTAGAGAAGGCAGCCTAGTGTAGTAGACAAAGAGCAGACTACAGTGTTTTGAAGACCAGGGTTCAAGTTCAAACTTTTCCGATGAGCTGAGTGACCTTGGGACAAGGAATTTATATTTAATCTCTCAGTGATTCAGGCAGCTTTGTAAGACTACATCGAACAGTAGGTCAGATCTACTTTGGAAGAGGAAGTTTCCTTCAGAAGGAATTTCCTACACCAATACAATCATAGATCTGGTTTAAAAAAAAAAAAACAAACAAAATCCAAACCAAACCAAAAACATTTATATGCTCTTTGAGATTGGTGGAGTGCTGGTCATGCTCTGGTTTGATTTTCACAATAATACTTTGAGGCTTTAAGTATTACTGTTGGGGCAGCTAGGTGACACAGTAATTAGAGTGCTAGGGCTAGAGGCAGGAAAATCCAAGTTCAAATCTAGACTCTAACACGTACTAGCTGTGTGACCCTGGGCAAGTCACTTAACCCTGTTTGCCTCAGTTACTCATCTGTAAAGTGAGCTGGAGAAGATATTTCAGTATCTTTGCCAAGAAAATCCCAAATAGGGTCACAAAGAGTAGGATACCATTGAAAATGATTGAATACCATGCACACATGTTATTACTATTTCTGTTTTAATGATAATAGCTAGCATTTAATAGAACACTTTAAGGATTGTAAACATTTGCATATATAATCTCTTTTGATTCTCACAACAACCCTGGAAAGCACATGCTATTATCATCCCCATTTTATAGACAGGAAAACAGGTTAAGAAAGTTGAGGGTTACATAGCTAAGTAAGTGTCTGAGACAGGATTTGAACTCAGGTCTCCCTGATGAGAAGTCTAGTGCCCTCTCTACTTCATGACCTCAATGCCTTATTTTACTAAGGAGGAAGCTGATGCTCTTTGTCCTTGGTCATATAACTCAGCAGCTTTGGAAGATGGGCTCAAACCCAACTTTTCCTGACTTCAAGTTAAGCACTCTTTTGACTACACAATGGAAGAAACTGAGACTCAGAAAAGTGTGTGTATCGGGGGTCACATAATAAAGAGCAGAGTAGAGCTGTGAACCCAGGTAGTCTGACTCCAGCTGCAGAGCTTTTTATGTACACTGTGAGAAGGGAGTACCTCCTCCCATTTTAAAAGGTTGATTGAGCATTAATGGCACGCATGTTTCCTCTTACTTGACCCATGGAGGATACAACCCAAACTAATTCTGCTCACAAGTATTTGAACATCTGTCTAACCATCTCTTAAAATACTACTATATATTTATATGGCACTTTTATCTTTTTGAGGAAATTTTCATATCTAGTATTTCCTTTGGGACTCAGAACAATCCTGTAGGGCAAATATTAACACCTCATAACACCAACGAGAAAAACAAGACTCAGGAAATGATCTGCCTATAAGGCATCTAGGTGGCACATTAGATAGTGCACTGGGCAAGGCTATGTTCAAATCCAGCCTCAGACACTTCCTAGCTGTGTGACCCTGGGTAAGTCTGCTGTCTGTCTGCTTCAGTTTCCTCAGCTGTAAAGCGGGGATGAAAATAGCACCACCTCCCAGGGTTGTTGGGAGGGTGAAATGGGATAATATTTATAGACTGTTTAGCACAGTGCCTGACATATAGTGGGTGCTTAATAAATACTTCTGTCCTTCTTTCCTATTGCCGACCAGCCAATTAGTGGCAGATCAGGGACTAGAACCCTGGGTTCCTAATTTCTAACCCTAGCCTTTTTTCTCCAGATTACAGTGGGGCCTTTCTGTCATGATCTTAAAAAATTTGATCTTTTTTTCAACATTATGTTCATTCCCAAACATATCCTCCCTTCCTTCTCTAGCTTGTCATCTATCCTCTGTAACAAAGGAGAAAAAAAAAAACCATAGTTCACCAAAACTAACCAACACATCAGCCTGATCAGGACATTTATACAACGTTACATACTCATAGACACCCCTACCCCCACACACCTCTGCAAAGTAGGGGAGCGGGAGCTTCTTTCTTATCTCTTTTCCAGGGTCAAGCTTGGTAATTAAAATTTCTATCAAGTACTTTTTTTGGTATTTTTTTAAATGGGGCAATGGGATTAAGTGACTTGCCCAGGGCCACACAGCTAGTGAGTGTTATGTGTCTGAGGTCGGATTTGAACTCAGGTCCTCCTGACTCCAAGTCCGGAGCTCTATCCACTGCACCACCTAGCTGCCCCTATCAAGTTCTTTTGAAAAGCAGCCACAGTGACTATAAGGCTGCCTACACTGCGGTTAAGATCCTGCCTCTGATTGTGTGACCCTCCTGTGACTTTAGGGAGCTTTCTAAAACTCTAAGTTTCAGCACTTGCAGCTGCCATTGATAGAGGAAGTTTCCCTATAGCAAATGAGATCACAGTTACAGACTATCCTTCTGTCCACTATTACCTGGGTAAATGCCCAAGGCCATTCTCTAGTCAATTGAGAAAGAAATAGAGACAACATAGACTGCTCAGAAATGTTAAAGAAGCAATTTTTGCCATGAACTTAAAAGTCCTCACTTTAAGCAGTGCGTTTCGGCTCTGTCCCTCCAAACATTTCTGTCAGAATTGTTAAAAGTGGAGCAAGTATGGCCAAGGAAGGGAAGAAGCTGGGCACCTGGATGAACCCAAGGACCGCCAGTGTTTAGTTCAACCTATAACCTTGACTCCACGTGTAAAACAATCACTTTTTCCTGTTAAACACTCCAGCATCATTTGGGAGAAGTCACTGTTGGCATTTGAGCCGGCAGTGGGTGATTACAAATTCTAGTTTTGTCACAGTATGGTGGCAAACACCTGTAATCTCTACCATAGAGAGACTGAGGCTGGTTAACCAAGAATTCTGAGCCACCACAGAGCTAAAGGGAAGAGGAAGAGGATAAAAGTTTATACAGTGCCTACTATGTGCCAGGCACTGTGCCAACTTCTTTAAAAATATTTCATTTGATGCTCACAGCAACTCTGTGACCCTTTTCACATTTGAGGAAACAGAGTCAAATAGAGATCAAGTAATTTTCTCAAACTCTCACCTACTCCGTGTCTGAGACTGGATTTGAACTCAGGTTTTCCTGACTTAATGCCCAGCACTCTACCACTGGCTGCCTTTTAAGCCCCATAGGTATCCATACCAAGGATGGTGGGAAGATGATAACAATAAACCATAATAATAATAGCTAGCATTTTTATAGCACTTTAAGGTTTGCAAAGCATTTTATGAATATTATCTCATTTGATCCTCACAACAATCCTGGGAGGTAGGTGTTATTACTATCATCCCCATTTTACAGATGAGAAAGCTGAGGTACAGAGAGGTGAAGTGATTTACTCAGGGTCACACAGCTAGTAAGTGTCTGAGGCAGGTTTGAACTCAGGTATTCCTGACTCCAGGTCCAGTACTCTTATCTAAGACAGAGGGCCAATAGGCTGCCTAAGGAATAGTGATCCACCTAGGCGGGAAAAACAAGGCAGGTCAAAATTTCAGTGCCAATTAACAGTAGGTCAGCCCATAATTGGCAATTGCACTTCCTTTCTGGGTGAAATAGGGAGACCTAGTACCAAAAAAATATTCTAATTATTAACCCTCTGCTTCTTCCCAATCACACAGGGATAACTTCAGCACAGTAACTTCTGTGACAGGAATAGAGAAAAACATAATATGGAGGACTATACTAAGGAAAACACAAACTTGTCAATACAATCGCTGCCTCCTTCCAAAAATAAGGGGAGGGATGTCCTCCCTTTTTAATTTTCTTGACCTCATTTATGGTATATTCACTTTAAAAATGTCGTGTTTTGTTACGAATTTCACCATCATTGGCTCACACAACCATTTCAATCTACAAGTACAAGGAAGAAGATTGTGTAAGAAATTCCAGCCACATTCTGCCTTATATTTCATTTATGTGTGTACACATGATACTGTTACTGCTTGGTAAACTCTTTGGCACAGGCTGTCATGGTGTCATGCTTGTAGCACCAGCTGCTTGGTTGAGTGCCTCCAACATAATAGATGCCTGAGCAGTGATCGTTGAATGAGATGTTGGAGGAAAACTGCTTATTTAAGTTACAAAACTCCCCAAGGAAAGTCCCTAGTTTCTTTCTTTCTTTTTTTTTTTGGTGGAGGATTATACAGTAAACCATATTTACTTAGCTCCTAGACATCTATTTTTAGCTTCAAGTACTTTTTATTGAATCCATATGTTGGGTGATGATGTACTTGGCACAGTGCCTGACACATAGTAGGTGCTTCATAAACGTTTACTGATTGATGGATAGCCAAGGAAGCTTGGATCATTGGAATAGGCACTGTCTCTCAAGTCTGAGGAGCTGATTTCCAATTCCACCTTTTATGCTCACTCTGTGTATGATTTCAGACAAGCCATCTAACTTCCATGATTCTCAGTTTCCTCATCTGTTAAATGTGGGGATTGGACCAGATGGCCTCCCAGTTCCATTCCAGCTAGAGCTCTATGATCCTATGTGCCAATTCCACCTCTTTATGCTTGGTTTCAAGAAGGCAATTGTGTTTTCTGTTCCTTCACATCTACATTATTTTGTAGGTGGAGGAGGTAAGGAAAGAGGATAATAGAATCCTCTAGAATAGAGGGGAGGTAACAGATACTACTCCTCCAAAGTGCTCTGGCTTTTTTTTTTTTGAGACACAGAGAAGGACAGTCACACTAACACACAAAGAGATATGAGGAGATAGACACAGACACATGCCAACAGAGACACATGAAGAGACATATAGACACACAGTCATATACTGAGAAAACACATAGAGACAAAAAGACACAGCCACATAGAGATACATACAGAGACACAGAGGGAGCCAGACAAACAGAGGGAGACAGAGAGTATATGAATTTTTAATGCATAAAGTCAGAGTGACTGGAAACAGTAGGCTTTTTTACACTAAGCTCTGGATAGCTTCCTTTTAAATTCTGGAACAAATTCCAAAAGGGGGGGGCGGCAGGTCTTGTCAGGTGATTAAAATTAAAAAAGCACCTGTGACTTTAGGATAACCCTAGTAATGCTCTCTTTAGGTCCCTCAGACTGGGGCTCTCCAAGCTAGGATTCTCCAAGAGGTTAAGTACAAGTTCAACATTTCCTGGCCACCCTGAAGAGAAAGGGTGAATCACAGACAGACTCCCCCTCCCAGAGCCTGTCCAAGAGAAGCAAGAAACCGGTCCTCTCCCCGCCTCCTCCCACCCCTCCCGTACATAGAGAGCGATATCTCTAGTTTTGCTACCTACCTAATGATAGTTAGAAACTGAGTCATGGTCAGCTCCTGAGGAACGAGGAATTTGGTTTTGTCCAGCGGGGGAAGGTATTTCTCCTTCTGATAACGTTCAACTATCACCTGTTAAAACGTTTAAACATAAATTGAAGCAAGGCCAGCTGAATACGATCCCTTGCCTGGAAGCACTAAGTTCAGGTGGGAGTTGCTGGGACGGTATATCACGGGACTCTACTGATCAGGGCTCACTGCAGTACCATTACACCCCCCCACCTTCTACAACAGGGACCTCCTTACCGGTATCTTGCTTGGGAACTTTGCCCGGATCCCAGCGACTTCCTCTTTTCTGGTTGCTGTAAAAGTGCAAATGTCACACGAAGAGTTAATCAGACAAATGAATGAGGTCTGTATTCATCCTTTCCCCTCGTTTCCCACCTCTTTTGCCCTAGGAGGATCCCCCTGAGTTGTACCTAAACTTTTCCGTTGCTTGAAAGGTCGAATGGTTTGGCTTTTCTGCTGAGGTTGCATTTTATTCAACAGGTTTTCTGTGAGGATTGACTTAATGCAAATTTTAAAATTCCCCAGTAACTAAGGGCTATGCTATTTCTTTTTCTCCAGCTGCTTTCAAACTGTCTGCAAGAGCCTAATGAAGTACCTTATATAGTCCTGGGTGTGACATCATGTTTTCCCCCTCCCCTTCCCCCCACCCCTCACAACCCAAACCCACAGCCTGTGAAGTAGAGGTCAGCCTCACAGATGGAAATGGAAAAGTGGGTCTGTTTTGTTAGTCAGAGAAAGTCCAAAGTTGCTTTGCTCATTATCAGAGAATATTTTCCCCTCTAGGCTAAAGAAATGAAGGCATCTATACCATTATCTTCCTACCTAACCTATTCCATGAAACTCTTCAGAGGTGAAAATCCCTTATACTAAAGCTTTTTGAGTATTTCAGTAACTCCTCTTGGGTGGAGTAAAGGTAGATTGATCTACCTTTATACTCAATTCTGGTCTAGAGTCAAGTGTTATAGCAAAGTTCTACGTTGAGTTTGCTCTCTAATCTAGCATATCATTTTCCCCTCACAGAATCCTACTGAGGGATGGATGTCATAAGAGTTGGAAGACAAGCATTGCCCCCAAGATTCTCTATTTTGTAGTTGAAGAATCTGAGCTAGTTAGTAGTACCTTTTACTAGTAAACTTGAGAACCATCCTCTCTCTTCAACACCTGCACCCTATTGATTTTGTGTCCTTACCCTCAGGTCTTTTGCATCTCTCTTAGTCTTTTTTTTTCTTTTTTGGTGAGGCATTGGGGTTAAGTGACTTGCCCAAGGTCACACAGCTAGTGTCAAGTGTCTGAGGCCAGACATCTTTCTTAATCTTGTCCTTCACAGTGTTACCAGCCTAGTTCCATCCTTCATTACCTTACTGATAGGACTATTGCAATAACCTTCTAACTGATCTTTCTGACTTAGTTTTTCCCCTCACCCTAAATATATAAATCTGTTATTTTAACTGTATTATATAAACATGTAAATACCCTACCACCAAAGACTTCCTCAAATCATGTTACTCCTTACTCAGAAATCTTTAATAACTCTGTACTGCGTTTAGCATAAAGTCTAAACTCCATTCATGCTGTACCCTATCCTATCTTCCCAGTCTTGCGTTAGATTCTTTTTTTTAATTAACTTTATCCTTTAGCCAAACTGACCCCACTTGTCAACTCCCTTACTAGATCGAGTTCTTTCCCATCTCTTTTCTTATAGCATCCCTTGTGCCTTGAATTTATTCTTTTTAACTCTATCTGATGAAATCCTTTCCAACCATAAAGGTATAATTCAGATACCAACTCCCCATAAAGCCTTCCCTTATTCTCTCTAGGTGAAAGTGATACCTCTTATGTTTAATCTTCCATGCAATCTTTGAATCTTTATATATATATATATATATATATATATATATATATATATATGTATATATATATATATGTAATGTGTGTGTGTGTATGTGTTATAGTAATGTTAGTAGGAAGTATTAGAGATATTTGTGTACATATGCCTTCTTTCCTATTACTCTATAACCAGCATGAGAGAAAAAATTGTGTTGGATTCATCTATGTATCATGAGAGACTAACTCGGTGCTCTACAAATTTGTCATTTAGTTGTTTCAGTCTTGTCCTTTGAAGATTTTCTTGGCAGATACTGGAGTAATTAGCCTTTTCGTTTTACAGTTTATTTATTTTACAAATGAGGAAACTGAAGGAAACAGAGTTAGGTTACTTGTCCAGTGTCACACAGCTAGTAAGTCTTTGAGTCTAGATTTGAACTCCGGTCTTCCTGACTCCAGTCCCAGCTCACTGTCCACTTAGCTGCCCCTACTCTACAAATAGCAGGTATTTAATGAATGTTAAATTAAATGGAATACATTTATTGAGACAAGAACCCAGGACTTTATACTCTCAACCTTTGTCTTTCCTTTTAGATCATAATTGGTGGCTCTGCTTTTATTGTGGTAGGGAATTTTGGATGAGGTACTTTTCCATCTCTATGTTTTTGCTTTTTATTCTCCCCCCCACCTTGAATGTCTTTTTCTTCACCTGTTTAAGTCTTTCAAGTTTTTGAAATCTCACTTCGTTCCTGATTGCTCCAACTCACAATGATTTCTCTTTCTTCCTAACTCCAATAGCACTTGCTAAATAAGGAAACTTTTTGAATACATGTTTTATTTCCCCAACTAGGTAAGTTTATTTAGAGTAGGAGACAGTTAAGTAAAACAACATTAAAGAATGATTGGACTGATACATGCTATGTTAAATTTTGGCCTCTCTTTTTTTTTTTCCAATTTGTTAAAGGATGATGTATGTTTAAATAAGCTATTGATGATACGGTTTCTGGGGTACATTTTTTCTGGAATTTTATATTATAGGATGATTGGGAGTTTGTATGATGTGCTGAAACAAATTTATCAATACATATATTTTTTAAAAGTAAGAAATAATGATAGTGCTCGTATTCTCCCACTCTGTCTAGCATGGTGCCATGCACTTAATAGGCATTAGGTGCTCAGCAAGTATTTGTTGACCGTCATTTCTGTGCTTCCGATGGGACAAGGCTACTTCTCAGAGCAGCTCATTCCACTTTTGTATTTCTCCAATTAGTAGGCAATTTTGTTTAGATAAAGACTAAATTTACATCTGCAATTTCTGCTCATTGCTCCTAGTTCTGCTGTCAGGGGCCAATCTGAACAAACTGAATTCCTCTTCCTTCCAGTGTCATGTCTTACTTTTCCAGGCTAAATATCCCCATTTTATTTGATCAATCCTCATAGAGCAAGAAATCAAAGTCCTTCATTATCCAGGCTACTCTCCTCTAGATTCTTTCCAGCTTACAGTGTGCTTTCTAAAATATAGCAATTCATTCATAACTACTCATTAGGAACATCCGTTCAATCAGGTCTAGATCTAATTATATTACTGTGTGTTCTGCATCTTTACATATCATCCACAACAATAGCCAAAAATGCTTTGCTAAAAATACAGGTTAAAAAAAATCTACATTATTCCTCTGATCAAACCAGTCTCGTATATTTGTCATAAAGAAAAAGAGATGAGTCTGCCATAACTTGTCTTTTAAATGCATGTTCAACATTATTTGACTACAAGCAATTGAACCATTCTCATAGCATGTTAACACTTTTACCAACATATTCAGTCTTATGAACAAACATAGCATGACTTGTTCTTGATGAAGCCAGGTTGGCTCTTTGTGATCACTGCTTTCTTTTATAAATGTCCCCTAATCATTCATTTAATATTTTGTTTTCTAGAATTTTGCAGGAATACAAGCCAAGCTTCCCAGTCACAATTTACAGACTCCATTTTCTCCCCTTTTCTGGAAAAGTAGAACCTTTTTTTTTCACCTTTATAATGATCTTCCACTTCTTCACAAAAGGGAGGGTACTGCTTTCTCATATCTCTTCTTTGTGTCTTTGTGTTCAGGCTTAGCAGAAAGCATTCAGTTTAAATCGGAGTTGTTTATATTATTGTTATCATTGTGCATATTGTTTTCCTGGTCCTCCTTGCTTCACTTTGTATCAGTTCATGTAAGTCTTCCTAAGCTCATCTGTAGTCTTCATACACATTTCTCCCAGAAGCATAATTTTTTGTTACAATTACTTCCTAAAATTTGTTTAGTACTTTTGTTCTAGTTCTTACCACAAAAAGCACTACAAGCAGTATTGTGGTGTACATGGAACCTATCTTTCTGCCTCTGACCTCTTTTTGGTATGTGCTTAGCATTTCTTGATTAGTCAAAAATCACTCAGTGACTCAGCAAACAGCTGCTCCTTCTGTCATGGACACAAGTTTTTATTGGTTTGGAATCAAGAACCTAGTAGAACTGTTTATAGAAAGCAGATGTTGAGGGATATTAGAAAAAGAAGTGGGGAAAGGATGTCTAGATTTCAGTAGTGAAAAGACTCCAGGGCTGAACTGGCTTATCTGCCACAGAACTGTCTCTTCTTACTTCAGGAATCCTTCCAAGGGCTTTAACCCTGACTTTATAGATACACCAGCGTGGGAATGGTATGATGTTTGTGGAAGTCTTCTGCTATAGCAGGTAGGGTATAAATAACAAGATTCAGATAAGACATCTTCCTAATTGTGCTAATGATATAATTAGCGAGAATTTTAAATTTTACAGAAAAAAATGGATTAAATATATTTTTTTCCTTCCTGGGTTTAACTCCAGGTATACCTGGAAAGAGCAATGGACTTTTTTGGATGGCAGAGACCTGCATTTAAATCCCACCTCTGACACTTAGCTATGTGACTATGGACAAGTCACTTTAGCTGAGTCTTAGTTATCCAATCTCTAAAACTGGGTCAAGAATCCTTTTAGTACCTACCTCAACTGGGTTGCAGTGAGATTTGAAGCAGAGAAGATATATATATGAAGGGATTTGTAAATTTAAATCACTGTATAAATGTCTATTGCTGTTATATTACTTGCCAGCAGAATTTCAGATCAATTATTATTATTATTAGGCAGTTGGGGTTAAGTGACTTGCTCAGGGTCACACAGCTAGTAAGTGTCAAATGTTTGGTCTGAGGCCAGATTTAAACTAGGGTCCTCCTAACTCCAGGGCCGGTGCTCTATCCACTGTGCCACCTAGCTGCCTCTCAGATCAATTAATTTAATTAAATACAGAATATATTTCTCTAGTGTCAGATTATAGCAGGAGCCAACTCTGGTTTCCATTTTAAAATCAACCACTGATTAATGGTTACTGAAGCTTAAAGTCTGCTCAGCTAGCCTCTATAAATACTCAAGTTGGCTCCTACAGCAGCAGCAATAGCAAAAGGTTCATTTATTTCAATATAAGACTCCTTGCAAGGATTACCTGAATTTTTTCTTATGGTCATTGTAGCAAGGTTTAGTGTGCCTCAGTGCTCAGCTAGCTTGTGTGCCTGCCTCCTTGGCTACATGGATGCCTCAGTGCTCACATAGATACAGTCTCACATAGTCACTGCTTTTATAAAATCAGATATTAAAACTGGCATGTACAAAATAGATAAAATTAGTTGAGTCAAAATGCATTTATTATAAGCTATGTGCC